AGGGGAGACATGATAGCAGTCTTCCAATATTTCAGGGGCTGCCACAAAGAAGAGGAGTCAAGTCTATTCTCCAAAGGACCTGAGGGCAGGACAAGAAGCAATTGGTGGAAACTAATCAAGGAGGGAAGCAACTTAGAACTAAGGAGAAATTTCCTGACAGTTACAAAAATTAACCAATGGAACCACTTGTCTCCAGAAGTTGTGAATGCTCCAAAACTGGAAGTTTTTACGAAGATGTTGGATAACCATTTGTCTGAAGTGGTGTAGGGTTTCCTGCCTAAGCAGGGGGTTGGACTAGAAGACCTCCAAGATCCCTTCCAACCCTGTTATTCTATTCTATTCTATTCTATTCTATTCTATTCTATTACCTTTGGATTGATGCACAAATGTGTACAGGTTATTTACAATGATAATGGTGCCGCCTGCCCATCACAGTTGTCAGCTGTGAAGGTTGCAAAAATGGATCAGTCCTGTGACTGAACCGATTTTACAACCTTTTTTGTGGCAGTCAAATGCCATAGTTGTTAAGGAAACCAAGGGGCTCACTGTGGGGACAGTTTTGCTGAAAACCGGAAGTAAATATTGGTTTTTGGCAAAACCACCGTCAAAAATAGTCACATGACTATGAGATGCTGCCAATGTGACCACAGGGGGCTGCCCAACCGTTGAAATCTGAAATCTAGTCATTATTCTCCAGGTAAGTCCATTGTTAACTTCACGCAGTCGTTAAGCCACCAGTTGTAACTCGAGGGCTATGTGTATTGCAAAATTTCACATGGCTAACTACAATTCCACATCCCTCACACCAGTGGTGGATTCCTACCGGTTCGGCCGAACCAGCAGTGGTATGGTGGCCTGGGTTGCTGGAACCAGCAGCAACCCAGGGCTGCCACGCCCTCAAATTGGTCCCCTCCCCACTGCCGCTATCATCTTGATTTTTAGTTTGGCACATCGGCAGAACAATTTTAATTGAACTGTGCATACACACGCACCAGCAGTAAAGCCGAACAGAACCCACCCCTGCCTCACACCCTTGGAGTGAGTTTCATATAATGCACTACATGATGGCTGGTAAGTTGTACAAACCAAATGTTTATTATTATTTGCTTATATACCGTTTTTTATACAGGTGGAAAACATTTCTAATATTCCTCCCTCCTCCTATTTCCACCAAAATAACAACCCTGTGAGGTGAGTTGGGCTGAGAGAGAATGGCTGACTAAAGTCACCCACAAGGGTGTTATATAACCACAAGGTGACATAAGTTCATTTCTTCTCATTCTAATGTTTAGCTGGTGACATTAATTGTACAGGATGGGAACATGGCACCACCTGCCCACAAGAAGAGGGGAGAGCCCCCAAATTTACATATATACAAAAGCATTTTTTGGGGGGGGAAATCTGTGTGTGCAAAATCTCCCCAAATTGCTAGAAGAACTTTGAACTTCCTTTGTACCAGTAGCTACTGTTTAATGCGTTAGAATTCCAAATGGAATGTCTGTTACTCTTAAGACTATTTTGGCATACAAACACACATCACAATCAAAGTTAGGGCAAAAAAAAGAATTCTGGATATTGGTGATAACTCAGTAAGAGGAACCCAGTCTCTAGGGCAATGTTTCTCAAATCCACCATCTTCAACTCCCAGAATTCCCCAGGCAATGTGCTGGCTGGGGAATTATGGGAGTTGAAGTCCACACATCTTAAAAGTTGCTGAACTTGAGAAACACTGTTCTATGGAAAGGTTTTGTTTGCTGGATATATCCATACAAAGGCTTGACAGCCACCTATTAAGGATGCTGTTTTTCTGGGTTTCTTTCCTTGGCAGGAAGTTGGTTGAATTGGTTCAACCGTTCCTCCAGCTCAATATGTTGAATTTTCACTGAAAACCTTCCCCCAAGAATCCTTGTTATATCATGTTATGCTCTAAGGAAAGAACCATATTATTATTCAGCTTGATTCTCATAGCACATTCTTTGGGCTGCATACAACCCAACTTTATTTTAGTCTAATCTAATGTTTCCTAATCTTGTGAGTTTTTAAGATGTGTGGACTTCAACTCCCACAATTTCGCCAGAATACATGCTGGCTTGGGAATTCTGGGAATTGAAGTCCATATTTGTAAAAGTTCCCAAGATTGGGAAACACTGATCTAATATATACTAATGGGTTGAGAGCAACCCATTTGGAGAGCACCATGCTGGACAAAGCTGTTCCTAAGTGATATGTAAGGACACATGACCCCAGATACAGTTGGGCATGAAAAAAGGTATCCTAGATCAGTGGTGGGTTGCTTCCGGTTTGGCCCTGTTCGGCCAAACCGGTAGTAGTGGTGGTGGTAGGCTCCGCCACTTGCCTGGACACTTCTGCGCATGCACAGAAGTGTTGCACACGCATGCGAGAACGCGCCCGAACCGGTAGTGAAAAAATTGACAACCCACCACTTCCCCAGATGCCTCCTGCTCATACTAGAAACTTGGGCTCTGCTGTGGCCCCTGTCCTCTAGAACAGGGGTCTCCAACCTTAGCAATTTTAAGACTTGGGGACCCAACCGGGGAGCTTCATTCTGTAGGTGGTTGGCTAATTAAGTTCAGTGCCACTTCCCCCCCTCCCTCCCCCACATCCAGTTCCCTTCTCTACCATCTTGTCTCTATGATTGCTGATATTTTATCTGTTGCTTTATAATGGATGTTTTTCAAAAAATGTTTTTAATATTTTTGGGTTGAATGCCACCCAGAGTCATACTTTATGTGCTCATGTATAGACATTTGAGTCCTTTTTGGCTGAACCTATATTTTGGCTTTTTACATAATCTGGTTTGTATCTTGGGTTCCCCTACTTCCTTACCACCTGTTTGATTAGGGCATATGGTGTGGCACACACTATCAAAAGCTTGATTTTCTTTGACAGCAAGGTTGATATTCTCATCCGCAAAAACATCTACTGTATGTTACAAGCACTGACAATCCTATTAGGTTTAGATTGCTGGGGACAGGAATGTTCTGTATTAATTAATTCTCTGTCTCCATTGTTTAGTTTAAATGTTTCTCCAGAAAAATCTCTGAATTTAATGCTAAGTAACTCAGTCCTTTTCTTTGATGGATGCATACCATCTCTTTTGTACAGCTGTTGTACAGAGTTGTTGGATATTAGCTGGTTGGCAAATAAATTAAATAAGTAAACACATAGTTAAATTAATCAAAATCTCTGAGAGATCAAGGCAGTTTAGAAGTAGGGACCTTCCTCTCTAACAAACAAGGTTGGTCGAGCTGAAAAAGACTATAGCAAGGGTGTCAAACTCGATTTCATTGAGGGCCACATCAGGGTTGTGTTTGACCTCGGGGGCCAGAGTAGGAGTGGCCAAGCTGGGTGTGGCCAGCTTGATGTCACTTGTGTCAGGGGCGCCTGTGGTGCCCTGAATTTTCTGCCAGTAAAAATGGGCTCCCAATCACCCAGCTGGGATGGCCTCCTGCAATCCTCTGCCAGTGAGGCTGCGTGCGTGGCCCTCCTGAGCTCCATTTTCGCTGGCAGAGGGTTGCAAGAGGCCGTCCCAGCTGAAAATGGAGATTGAGAGTCTGTTTTTACTGGCAGAGACACTGTGAGCTGATCCTTCGCTGTTTCCAGAACGGCCCTGTGGCCACTGCGGGCCGGATCTGGCCCGTGGGCCTTGAGTTTGACATCCTTGGACTATACTAATCCCAAATTCCCTGCACACAGCTATGTGAAGATTGGTACCCAAATCTCACTGTTCCTGACATTGATGGATTTGTGAGAGGACATCCACCAAAGCAAATTCATCCTTTCTTTATTTTTTATTTTTTATTATTTACATGTATCGAACACAGTGTGACTGTCCTGGCGTTTCATCCGCTATAGAAATCAAAGTGAAAGACAAATAACATATATACTACTTATATAGTGCTAGTTTTATACAATTAT